GGCTCAGGTTTATAGTTAGGGCTGGCTCAGGTTTATAGTTAGGACTGGCTCAGGTTTATAGTTAGGACTGGCTCAGGTTTGACTTGGTCCATCCCCTAGATAAGCTGCTATAGGCCTAGACTGCCGGAGGACTTCCTAGGATAAACTGAGATCCTCTCTCCTTCTGTATGAATTCATGTCCTATTAATGCAAATTCCTAACTAATCACATGTCGCATATGTACAGATTGTAAAGCCCTCTGAGGCAAATTTGTGATTTTGGGCTATACAAAATAAAATCAATTGGTCTCAATCTCTCGTTTCAAGTCTTCTTCAATACAGCATGATGTTCATTTAGTAAATTATGGTCCATGTAGATTAAAATAGACCATAAAGCAGTATACGGCGCCACTACGTCACTTCTCCGCATTCCAAATATGGTAACTTCCATTCATCGGTTGCAAAAAACAACAACATGGCAACAGTCGTATTCCAAGATGGCAACGGCCAAATCGGCGAACCCGAGGCTTCAAAACATTAGTCCACAAACCAATGGGTGACGTCACGATGACTACGTCCACTTCTTACATACAGTCTATGGTTACACTGGAACATCCTTTACCAAAGGAAAGGGGATGCTGTCCCACAATTCCTTGCCGCAGCAACAATTAAAGTAACACACCATTTGGCAATCAATAACATCCGCAATCAATAATGATTGAGGTCCTTGAGGTCAAGGAGAAGTGGTTAGGACATAGGAATACATTTTTTTTGGACTATTTGACCGACCACAGCCCGCCGTCTTCTTCTTCTGTTGAGTTTTATATTGTTGGCTTCCATACAAGAAGAATTATATTACCGCCATCTTCCAACTTCGGAAAATGTCCCTGAAAGGTTAACCCAGTAATTAACTGGGAACTATGTGTGAAATGAGTGCTGCGCTGTGTCCTGATGATGTCCTGAAGCAGGTTTCCAGTATGCAGTGTGTAGTGAGTCTACAGCCATGCTAACAGCTCTAGGAGTTTGTAATTAGGCACAATGGTGCTTTGAACTAAATGCTATCATCAGCATGCTAATATGCTAATAACGCTTACAATTTAACAGGCTGATGTTTAGCAGGCATAATATTTTACCATGTTCATCGCCTTAGTTTAGCCTGTTAGCATGCTAACATTTGCCCTAACATAGTGCTTCAGAAATGAGTCAGCATCTCTTTTTTCCTCGTCTCTCAGAGATTTTAACATTTTGTTCCGAGATATGAAATATGTCAGTAAATAGACCCCTCTTGTGAGTCACCGATGTCTAAACCAAATTTCAACATGATCCATCCATTACATATTAAGCACTTTGCTGTGTATTTGGGATGTTTTACTGGAGGTGAAGTTCCAAATGCGCAGTTTGATTAACACGCATTGGAGCACGTATTGTATACTTTCCTGTAAGTATAAAACGGTTAACTGCAAAGATTTTCTTCTATACTAACTGCAAACACAGTATATTTATAATTAGTACATGTAATATACTGTATATAATACGTAGTGCATGTAAACTGGGATAGTGCTGCTCCTGACTATTCATTTGCATATGTCGTCATGTTTTTTTTCTCCAGACTTTTCTTCTCGCCGCGTTACATAATTTCACAGTGTTGGCGAATTTCTGGCAGAGACTACGTAAATCACAGACACAAAAGGCACCAGTGATTTATATTGAGCTGCATACTAATAAAGCAGTATGTGCCTGGCAGTTACAGTTCTTTTTAGTGTACTTTTTTATAGCAAGATAAAGGCATCTTACAGAAGAACCTGTCAAGTTCAGTTCATCCTTGTTGTTTGAGTGCTCCAGTGAAAATGGGTGAGTGTTTGTTCTGCGATGCGCAGGTTTATATCTTTTGACGGGCTGATTCTCTGAAGAAAGGGAGAGACTACGAAACCTGCGCTAAATGTACCTGTGCTCATAAAAGGATTTTTTCCCTTTTTTTTTTAAAGACTCACCCTCCAGGGAAACCCAGCAGACCGTCAAAGCGCATCTGCATCTGTGGGAAGTGACAAAAGCTGTTATACACACACACGCACACACACAAACACAAACAGTGACTCTTCCTCACCAGTATGATGTGTCGGATGGGGATGCTCCCAAACAGCAGAGTTTTTGTGTCACAGTAAAGCATCACGTGGCAGGCGTGCCTGCAGCCTGGACACGCCAACGCCTCGGCCCTCGACAGGTGTCTGCTCGCCATCTACGAGCACACAGACAAACAGTGCAAATTTTCACAGTCACACAGTTCAGTGCTTGCTGATCCCTCTGCCACCTTGTCATGTGCTGCCAATGTGACATCCCTCCAGATATACTCTTTGTTTATTTCTCCCCCCCACACCCCCTCATATGCTGAGCTGACAGACCTGACTGAAGCCTAGCTTGAAGGGCCTATGCAGCTTGTATGCATTAAAGCTTATGGACGGTTATGCTGAACCAGGAAGCTTACAGGAAGAGCTGTGACTTGTATTAATAACGCTAAAGCTCCCTCTGCTGGTGTGGAGTGTGCTGACAACAAGGGGAATCCCTGCCCTGCTCTCAACTCTTTTCATTGGCATTTGCAATATATTATCCTATTGCATACGTTTTTTTTTTTTTTTACAATAATTCATGTATTTACTACATACATTTCCATTTATTTCCATATATATCCTCTTTATGTGGACTTGATGGTGAAACTACACTTGTTTCTGATCTTGTCCTTATAGTTATTTTTCTTGGGGAAATTTGCCAGAGAGCCTAAATATTTTTTCAAACTTTTCTCTTCATTATTTTCACGTTTTTTTTTTTTATTGTTTTTAAAAGTATGTTATGAATCTCTTTATCACCTTATGAGCCACGCACATTACCTGACACATAAATGCCCAAGGAACTTTTCAAGTAAATGTAGGCTTCCTTGGGTACTTCTCAAGTCTCTTAATTGCATCCCCGTTTCCCTCACTTGGGTCCTTTCCTTGCGTCTAGTCCCTCCCAGGGATGCATGGAGGAAACCATGCGAGGAGCGAGGAAACGATAATTAAGAGACTTGAGAAGTACCCCTTGTCTCTTCTCAGGTGAACGTAAGTCTAAATAAATGCAGTCTCATTCTTCAGTCAGCATTTAGAGCCCAGCACGTTCAGTTTCAGGGGGTGGACCGGACGTCAACCTTTTGTGTGACGTTCTGAGCACTGATTGGCTGAACAAAGTCTGACTAGCCAATAGCAGGCAACCTTCCTGACAAATCAACACCGGAGGCTAGCGTATGTATGGGATTTAGTAGATTTGGACATCATACATTACAGGCGGCTATGTTATAGCACAACAGAGTACAGTGCACTGTAAAATGTGATATTATCTGGTTAACACAGACCTACACGGAAGGCGACACACGGACTGGAGGCAGCTGCTAAGCGTGAAGGTAAATAATGTTAACTACCGACTACCGTCCACAAATTTATAGCTAACGGTATTCAACCATAATTATGCCATATGTTCAATTTATTACGTTAACCTCCTGGTTAGTGAAGCTGTAGTTTCGAGCGTTCTCTTTATAGTAACACGGACCTAAAACAGGAGTTACACCGGAAGCGACTTCATGCACCGGTTTATATTAGTGTGTTAAATAACCAACATTTTCTAAATTGTAATTCTGTCAAATGTCCTATTTATTTACCATTTGTTTATGTACACATATGTTTATAGCTTATTCTGTCTATGTGTAACGTCAAAGCAAAAAAAGGTAAACTCCTGTGCTGGATTAGTGCTACTGGCTGCTACACAGCAACAACTAACTATAATGCTAACTTATTATTTCTGTGTGTCTATATATGTATGTGTGCCTATATACATATTCATATATATGTGTGTGTGTGTGTGTGTGTGTGTATATATACGTACACATACGGTCATATTGTTATGCATAAGTTATTATTGTTGTTGTTATTATGATTTTAGTTACAGTAGTTGTAGTATTGCCCATATCATTTTAAACATGTATATTACAAACACATACAGGTTAATTTACTGACATATTCTGTAATCTAAAACAAAAAGGTATCCTCGCAAGCATAACTCAGAATACAGATGTGGACCCTGTTATGTTTCCAGAATTGACTGGCAAGTGTCAAAATTCGCAGACTCGTGCCAAGCAGCACTTCTAATGATGTCCTTAATGTGCTGCGATGTCATATTTCAGCAATCAGAATGGCCCAGGGGATACCAGACGAGATCATGATGGATGGTGCGCTGATAGAGGACTTGGCAGAGGTGGCAAAAGATGAAGCACTTCTGCAGGGCGTCCTCATGAGGATCCAAGAGTCCTCCAACTCGTCGGAGGTAGGAAGTGAAAAACACACATTTCTTTAGTTGATCTGCACAGATTATTATGATATACTGTACATAACACATTATAGAATACTAGCGTTGCCCAGCATTAGAGCTTGGGTCTAGGGTGCATTTGCAAACACTTTTCATGTAATGTGAGTAAATAATAAGAAGTTCAGTGACACATACATATGCATGCTTTTGAATTGGTTCGTCCCTCATCTTGGACAGAACACTTACAAAACCCAGATATCCTTTTGACCCCTACTGAAGGTGAATCAGAGAGCTGACCCGTGTGTTGGAAAGTCATTTACAACCACCTTAGATATCATTTGTTAACACTCAACTACTAGATTAGGCAATAGAACCATTGTGAAGAAGCTGCATTCCTCTGGTAGCGATAAACACCGCGTAACTCTTAAACCCTCCAGTTTCTCTGCCAAATTTGCTGTCAGCTCAACATAAAGGCTGCAGGAACACGAGGTTTATTACACAGAGAGCGCAACGAGTGTCAACGATATGCACAAAGAGGTTACCTGTAACAGCAGCAATCTAGCAAACACAGGGAGTCGTTGCAGCGATTATTCGGGTATCAGATAAGTCGATAATGTATGTTTTTTTGTAGGGGGAGAAAAAACAACTTGTGCAACCACAATAGTTATAAGACCAGCACTCCGTCTATGCAGACTGCATGGATTAATGGATCATTATCCAGCAAAATGCTTTAGACGCACTGTCCATTTAGCAGCAAAATCATTTCTAGCACTGTGAATACACAACAGGCAGTTGAGCAGTTATGTGTGAGGCCATTGCTCAATAAAAGATGCGTCTTTGCTTTGTCAGTCCTTGCATTTCTAAAACGTCTATTTCTAGAACGAATCGATATGAACATGTATTTGTGTGGTGTGACACAGCGAGCCTTGGCCGCTAAGAGAGGACATGATTCCACACCAGCGGGCTGTTAAGCCTTTGCTGTGACAACAGGCGCGTTCAATGGGAAGTCATGTCAGCAATTTATGCGGCTTCAGGGAACGGGATTAGTGGCAGATCTGTATCGCGCCGCTGTCTGAGGTCACGGGGGTCTTTAGCCCAAGTGCTTGTTTTCATTCCTCGCATGCCAATGCCGCTTCCATCGCTTGCGTTCAGTGATGAATGGTCTTTGGAAATCCGCATTCTTTTCTCACAACTTTTGCTTTTCAGCTGGTGACGTACGCTCCGTTCACGCTCTTCCCTACACCTGTGCCCAAGGCTGTGTTCCACCAGGCTCTGGCGGTGCAAACGCACTACAACACGCTGGTGGACAAGATCAGCCAGGATTCAGACTTTCTGCAAGAGGCTCTGGCTAGGTATGTGTGTGTGTGTAGTTTCAAGTAGCAGGCATAGCATGCAATTCAATACTTCTACTAAAGATCACCACAAGTGTTTCAGGGTTTTAACAGGGTGACATTCTTTGTTTTTAGCACCATTGAAGTGGACGATTTCACAGCAAGGTTGTTCAGGATCCACCAACAAATCCTAAAAGAAGGAAAGGCTCAGGTATGTCGGCCATTTTGAAAACGTCGTTTTGGGGTCGGAGGCCTTATCGTCTAGCCACAAAAACAGAAAAGAGTAATTTGTTTGCCTATTATAAAACAGGGGTATTCAATTAAAGTTCAGCGAGGTCCACTTCAAGAGAATTTCCTCGTGCACAGATCCGGAACATCACAATAATGTCTAACTTGCGCTATGATTTAGTCCCATATACTGTTTATTGAATTTCAGGTGTGAAGTGATGTCAACCAAAAAAAGCCATGATATTATATTTTTCTCATCTTCTAATAAGATACATTTGTGTGCAGGGACTTTATCTGTTGTTATTGAAGCCACTTGTTTCAGCTCCTCTCTGTTATCATCATTGTTGGACAGTGAATTCATGTGTTAGGATTCTGATCATATTGGGCTCTTAGGTTTATTATCTGTGACTTCATTTCAGATGTGAGTGGGTACATTTGCTCAAAAGAGTTGTGCTTTGTCTCGTAGTGGAGCTTCACATTAACGCTTTTAATAATCGTCACGGTCTCTGAACATGTGAGACACACTGGTTTTGAACTGCCCGTGGGAAGAATTAGCCTGTAACAGTCTGTCCAAGACTCTGGTCTCTCTGACCACATTTCTCTTTTTGGAGAACGCCATGTGAGATAACTCTGACTCGCGTAATTCTCCTACTCTTCATCTTCCCTCGTCTCTCCCCCGAGGAGTGGGGAAACTTGTCGGAATACAGATATTTGATTGGCTGAGCAGCATCATGCGATGTGATTTACAACCCATGTAATTGGTCGGTGTGTTTCCTGGGCCGCTAAACGAGTGCCGTAAAGGCTGGAAAAGCTGCGCCGTTAAAATAGAAGCGCTCTGTCAAAATATAATCATTTTCAATTATCAGTTGTTATTAGTTTTAGGTCCAGGGTCCGGATACAACGTTGTATCGGTCCAGTGACCCCTGTTATAAAACAATACTAGGAAATCACAGCATTTGACCATATTGCCCTATTAATTCAGCCAACAAGTTTTTCTTAAAGGAGGAGGAATAAGAGCGTCTCTGTCATGTCATCATTATAACGTTTGGCTAACTAACTAACTTTTTAGCTAGCTAGCTAGCAAACAATGTAATGTTTTGTTCAGGAATACAGAGCAGCAGAAGGTAAATGATGTTCCCCCTGTTTTATACCCCCCTCACAAGGTCCCGACAGCACGCAGATATATTTATTTGTAGCATTTAATCATTATTACACGCCATACAATCTTGCTAAAAACAAAATGAAACTCCCCAAGCTGTCCACCCGCGTAGCAGCGGCTGAGTAGTGGTCCTCGATGATTCTGCAATAACTGGCCACCAGAAATATGAAGCAGTTTGCCGCAGCAGAATGCGAGATTAGCCGTGGACAGACACAGAGGTGCACAGTCACTCACACACACAAATGAAAGCGATCGCATCATCCTCCGGGCGGAGACCACAACATGACGGGGCCAAATGGCACAAGTTTTGAGCCCCCACATGGCAGTCTGCGCTGAATGTTCACCAGTGTGCCTTCATCAATGCCTTTTAGTGATCCAAGTGGTTTGAGTCGGGATTCTTTGCCTTCTTTCCAGTCTGTTGTGTTGGGTCTCAATCGGTCCGACTACATGCTGGACCAGGGGGAGGACGGGTCGTCGTCTCTGAAGCAGATAGAAATCAACACCATTGCTGCCAGTTTCGGAGGTCTCTCATCACGCACGCCAGATGTTCACCGGTAAGACAGTCATTATCCTATAGATTGTGCTTTTATTTATTTAGTGAGGGTTTTTAAAGTGTGATTAATAGGGGTGGGAATCACCAGAGGTCCCGCGATACGATATTATCACGATACTTAGGTCACGATACTGCGATATTATCACGATACTGCGATATTCTGAGTATTGCGATAACATAGGCCTATATTGCGATTTATTACTTTTTTCAACTTCAAATTATGTCCCCAAAGGAAAACTGTGTCAACATGTTTTATCTAATAAGATAACGTTTTCAGTCTGTTCATCTCACTTCAATTATTTTTATTGCAGCAAAATAGGATTGTCAAGCAGACAGACTGACCAACAATGTCATAAATGTTGCATGAACCTGACAAACTGAACTGTTTGTATTACTACATAGTCCAACTTAACTGAATGCAAACGTGTGGACTCAGTATATGAACTATAACCTATATACAGTAAGTAGGATATAAGAGTTATATAACTCAGTATAACTTGCGATGCGTGGACGTCAAGGGCAGAGAGCCAGTTATGCGCTGCACTCTCCCCATGAGCCTGGCTACTGTTGGCAGATTTAACCCCGTTGTGAGGCCAGATGTCTCTCTTTGTTTTGACCAACTTCCTACCAATCACACTGACCCGGGACCTTTGCTGACCTCACAAGAAAATAACTCAGCACCATCTAGTGGACTGAAAAAGTAATTGATTTGATTTTTCTAAAAAAAATAAAAAATAAAAAAAATAAAATAAAATAAATAAATTAATAGTTTATATAATAAAAGATCGATACTTGGCGTCCGTGTATCGATACAATATCGCCACGCAAAATATCGCGATACTATGCTGTATCGATTTTTTCCCCCACCCCTAGTGTTTAAGATAATAAGTTGAGTGGGGCGACATTTTTTAAAATCTTTCTTTATAGCTGGTGATGAAAAAACTTGTTTTTTCATGCTAAATGGGTCAACTACCTGAGTTCAACAGTCGCCCCGGGCAGTCAGATTTGTTTATAGATCCCCTCCACTCAAAAGTGTGTTTTTCACATTATCATAAGTATTTTTTCATCTTGCCCGACAGACACGTCCTTAAGGTGGCTGGTAAACTGGAGGAGAGCCAACGGATCCCAGACAACAACCCTGCCTCTGGTCTAGCCGGCGCTGTTGCCAAAGCCTGGGAGCTCTATGGATCAGAGAGGTAGGAATTCAGTACATCCACTCGACTCTACTCTGCAAAACGACCTGTCCTTGCCATATGGATGTCATGACTTTACTCACTCACTGTTCCATCTACTCATCCTGAGGTCAAGTGCTGGATGAATCAATTCACCTCACAAAGAATCTCAAGTAAACACAGCTTTCTGGTGGAATATAAAAGCTCTGCTCCTTAAATACCAGCTGTATCACAGCAATACCTTCAACTAATAGGAGATCAAGTCTGTCTGGAAGACCTGTGCTCATGTTGGTAGACCAATACTCTGCATTGTGTATTTGAAAGCATAGGCATAGAGGTACAAGAGTTGTTCCGATACCAGTATCAGAAATGCCTCCTATACGTCCTACAGCTAGTTAGCGTTAGCTATTAGCAGCCGATGGGCAGCACAGAGCTAACAGCTAACATTAACGGAGGTGGCATTGAGTTACATGATGGTGCGTTCAAGCAAAGGTCAATTATCATTATATGGTTAAATGTAATCTTGTAAACTGCAGTTTTGCTGAGAAACTTGGAATAAATTCTGTTGTTTGAAGGAATAGTTTTCACAGCCAACAGAGGTAATTGTGACCCGTTGAACTTCTTTTTGTTTTTAATGCACTGGTATTGGATCGATTTTCAGTATTGGAAAATATACATGTACAGGTACTTCTTCATTACCTAATAACATAAGGTCCATATGCCGCTATTGGTAGAAAGCAGTCGATCAAAAACAATTGCCGGGGAGATTCGTGGACTAGTAACCAAATGTCCAGAATAATGTGTACAGGTAGCAGTGAGAGCAACCGTTTGTCATTACAGAGCAGCCGTCATGTTCTTGGTGGAGGAGAGCCAAAGGAACATCTTTGATCATCGATACATAGAGAGCGAACTGTGGAAGAGGTATGTGCGAGTAAACCGGAGCTGTTTATGAAGCAGTAAGCCATTCCCCAATGGCTTTAGGCAACCATATGTTTGATGTGTAAATGCTGCAAACCTGACAAACGGGAATATGTGGATTCACTTTTGGTGTCCGTTATTGTGTAATGCCTCTGTTTGCAATTTTAATCATCCTGGATTGAAGTGCACATTCATGTAGTTGGCACATATTTGGTGTGAAAAGCGGTGCTTTTTATGTAACCGGCACACTATTGTGGATGTGTTTCAGGAACATTCCCACCATAAGAAAGCGCTTCGACCATGTTAGTAAAACAGGGTCCCTTGATCAGGACAAGAAGCTATTTGTGTAAGTCTGTTTCTGTCCATTCAGTCTGAATGAATACATGGTATACAATGGAATATTCATACATTATTTGATTAGATAGAATTATGACAAATTATACATCATCATATTCCTCTCTTTTCAGTGACGGCCACGAGGTGGCAGTGGTGTACTTCAGGAATGGCTACATGCCTCAGAACTACATTTCCGAACAGGTCCTCCCTTTTAAATCTTGAATACAAGTTCTTGTAGTTTTACTTACTGACTTTGTGAAGTGCATTCAAGATGGAAAATTATGATTAATGCAGACACCGCCACCTTTAGGAGTTCCATTAGGAAAGGACATTGAGGAGGAAAAAACTGACTGCTTGCAGGTTTGCCTAAGAGACGGACACAACTTTATTTCCACAATTTAGACAATTTATGTCCAGTGTGGCAGAATACTCAATTCTCTCATTAGGCTATAATAGGATTTAAAGGGACAGTGTGTCGGATATATTGGCAGAAATTGAATATAATGTACAATGTTTTCATGTGTATAATCACCTTATTTTGCCGTCACCGTCTTGAATTACGACCGTCACCATGTTGTTTTTCACAACGAATGACCAGAAGTTACCATATTTTGAATGAGAAGGAGTGACAATGACCTGTCAATCACAGTAAGCCCGCCCTAAAGCATAGTCAACTTGCATTCTCTCTACTGACCAGCAGGGGGCAACTCCTCTGGTTGCCAAAAGAAGTCTGATTGTATAGAAGTCTATGAGAAAATGACTCTACTTCTCTCTTGACATGAGTTTATGGTCTCAATCTCTAGTTTCAAGTCTTCTTCAATACAGCATGATGTTCATTTAGTGAATGATGGTCCATTTAGAGTCAAACAGACCATAAAGCAGAGTATGCTTTAGGGCGGGGCTTACTGTGATTGACAGGTCGCTTCCCTACCAGAGCCGTATACGGCGTCTCTACGTCACTCCTCCATATTCCAAATATGGTAACTTCTGTTCATTGGCTGCAAAAAAAAACAACATGGCTACGGCCGTATTCCAAGATGGCGACGGCAAACTCGCTGAACTCAAGGCTTCATAACAGCATTCCACAAACCAATGTGTGACGTCACCTCATCAGAATTCTCGCCAGTAAGGAGAGTAAAACATTTTGTGTTTTTTGAATTGTAGACCTGGGACGCTCGTCTCCTGATGGAGCGCTCTCTGGCCGTGAAATGTCCAGATATCAGCACTCACCTGGCTGGAACCAAGAAGGTCCAGCAGGTGCTCGCCAGACCCGGAGTCCTGGAGCGGTTCTTCCCCGACCAGCCCCGAGTAGTCGAGCAGATCAGAGCGACGTTCGCTGGCCTCTACACTCTAGACATGGTGAGAAAATAACACGTTTACACATTCACATTCATGTTCAAGGAGCAGGGAAGTTGATTGTTTAGTTTTACTTCATGAAGGTAGAATGACTTTGTTCTTTGTCGTCGTCTTTAGGGACCAGAGGGTGACAAAACGGTAGCAATGGCTTTGGCAGCACCGGACCGGTTTGTCCTGAAGCCCCAGCGAGAAGGAGGAGGTACAATGCAATAAACAGAAAAAAAAATCTTAACCAATGATTCCCCCCCATGCAGCAAAATCACCCAAAAATTCCACATTGGCCGCCATTTCTTGAACCAGGAGAGTTTGAAATGACACGGCTGTATTTGCAGCACGCGAACAGTTTCTTACCCGTCATCGTCTTTCCAGGGAACAACATCTATGGATCGGAGATCTGCCGGGTCCTGCAGGCAGCGAAGGGGACCACGGAGAGGACGGCCTACATTCTGATGGACAAAATCCACCCCGCCCCAGTACAGAACTACCTCCTGAGACGAGACGCCCCTCTCAAAATCAGTAACTGTCTCAGTGAGCTGGGAGTGTTTGGAGCATATGTCAGGTGTGTGTGATCACTATTTCATTGGCACAGAATGCTTCTTGTGTAATGGGAAAGATGGGATCTCTAGCTTAACGTTTTTTGTACTTTTTTGAATTCATGCAAGTAATTCGCATGTCGATATATTTTTTTCAAATTGTTGTTTTTGTCATTATCACTTTAACACAGAGCACTAATATCACACGGCCAAAAAGAGACGTCATTTATTTTCTTTTTGCACAGCAAGTAAAGGTACCAACCAATCTCGTAGTGTGGAACGTACACTGTGGTGTACAACAACAGAGAGGCTCTGTAGCTATAACATGAAGGCCAGCGCGTCGTGCACGAAGCAAGTGGTCGCGACGCTAGGTTGTTCACCTCTGAACTTTTGTAACTTGGCATGCGTGGTGTGCGATCATTAGTCTCTGTCATGTCACTCATAGGGTTCCGAAGAGCCAAACTGAAGCTCTTCTCCGCTGCCCCCTAGTGGCCAAAAACAAGCAGACGTTGCAGTTTTACCACAACTTCAGTTTACATTTAAGACATAAAAACCAAGAGAGTGGACACTTTCAACCCTGCCGAGTTAACGCCAAACTCTCTCTGATCGGCCACCTCTGTTTGTTTCCTCACAGGCGAGGTAAAGACACGTTGATGAACGAGTGCGCGGGCCATCTGCTGAGGACCAAGAGTTCCGAGCACTTGGACGGAGGCGTGGCAGCGGGAGTGGCCGTGCTCGACAACCCTCTCCTCGTCTGAGAACTCGCTCCTTTCCAACAACTAAATGTACAAGTAGACTGAAGCCGGTATCTCTCACTTTTGATATTTTGATAGAAAGCCTCACTGTCGCTCTTTTAGCGACATGGTGGCTTTTCTTTCCTGGACCAGTCTTTCTTGTACTGCTGCAGCCTGTTTCTTCACTTTGACTGTTTGAGCTTTTTGCAGAGCAGGTTTGCCCTGGATGTATGAAGTGTGCACAGCTCTTGACAAATAAGAAACAATGATGGCAAAAAGTAGAAGGGTGAAGCCAAGGGTGAATGGGAGATAACGGGTGTCTTGACTGCTTGAGGTTTGGAAAAGAAGAGAAAAAAAAACTCTTTTTGCTGTTCAACCGATTGCCCTTATTATCACTTGAACTATGCCGAGTGCTGCTTGTTTTTACGATTGAGACGAGCAACTAATAAAAGATGTGCACCGTACTTACAGATTCTGTGACATTTTGCTACGTAGCCCAATAGTTCTCAGGAGCTTTGTCTGTACTGTAAATGATTTCCCTCTCCACATTTATCAACGCGGTAGATCCAGTGATGCATGTTTGAACAGCGGTGAAGCCAGTCCATTTAACTCAAAAACTCTCTTGAAATATGAAGGGACAATATATTCACATGCGCAGAATGTAATAGTAATGCGACTACTATTACCACATATAATTCTTCTAAGGATAAGAAAAATGTATTTATTTTTATAGAAATACAGCTAAAAGTGCTATAAGTCGAGGGGAAACAACTACATCACCAACTACAAACATACATTTTGAGTTTTTTGGCTATTTTTCTTCCATAACATCTTCTTTCAGACTAGTGGAAAGGAAACATCCAAAATACACATTTATATTTCATTTTACTACTTTGTTTATTTGCGTCTGTAGATTTCTTCTAAATTCACCAAAGGTTACCATTAGATAATGCCTGATTTGCATATTTAAACATAACGTTTCAGAAAACCTGTAATACAAATAATAAATGTCTTATTGTAAGTAATTCACTGGGGAAGTTCTATGGTGGTATCTAGTATTTTCTTTTTACCTTTTTCACCTGTAGTGTCTTCAAATGTGTGTCATTTTACGATAAATATCTTTACAATGAGTTGTTTTCTCCACTCCACTACCTCTTACATTCACCAAACTTTACAGTTTCATTCATATATATATATTCTGAAGATTTGTACAGAGGGGTTTGTTCATATTAAGGATTAAATCATTAATATTTTACTTTCATTTCTTTTTGTTTAATGCCCAGAACGTAAGGGTTCTTTCTGTGTTTCCCTTTACTTCCACTCATCTTGACTGCTCACCCCGGATACAAGTGGCATTTCCAACTTGAATCACAGTGGTGTTTTCCTGTGCTGTTCATTTCTTTTGCACTTTGCTCCCCGGGGGCCCATCGGGGTGACAAAAGCCTTTCTCCAGCTGCTGAGCTCAAAAGAGTCTGCTTTTCCAACATGATTATTTGGCCCCCACATGAGACCCCCAAATTGTCTGAGGTCGGGGGTGAAACGCACATATCGGTATGACTCAAAACAGAAAAAGTGTGTACCGGCAGGTATCGGCCATCTCCTGCTACTTATTCCTATTGATTTATTATTTCTTTGAGTGTGTTTTACTGTGCCAGTCATAATCAGTTTTATTGTTATATTATATTGGGCTATGCGTCTTCTATATAGATTTCATTTATTGGCATTATGCAACACAGGGTTGAGCAACAAAATAGCCCATTTGCTACACAAGTAAAAAAAAATATGACAAAGAAAAAAAAATAGTAGTGCTTTCCTGTGCATTTTTATTTAAAATTTGCATCAAGAGGAACGCAAACAGCAGTAACGAAACAATTTTCCCTGCAATATTGCTGACATTGTACTTAGTTGTAATTACTTTATACAGGATGCTGTCATTTCCAATGAAGAGAAAACCACAACAAGAAAAAAGTTCTGCAACACAAATGTATTTATTGCTGGGACTTTTTGCTTTTCTCTGAAATAGTTTGACCCCTTTAAGCCTCAGGCAGTTATTTAAACCAAACCTTCTGAGAAGTTTGAAGCGGAACTCACTCTTTATAGGAACTGCTAACGACTCACAGACATCTGAAACATGATTTAAGGAGCCCCAAGTAGACACCGCTTTATTGTGAGGGGTCACAAGCCACGGAGGCTGGGAATCACTGGTTTAATCTCGACGATGCATTATGTTTTATAACACGATCACACATTTTTAATGTAAAATCTTCATCTGAAAACTAACTAGCAGCCAGATAATAAATAATATAATGAATAAATATATCAGATATGTGGTGGAGTAAAACATACAATATTTGAACAGCTATTCAATGTGGTGGAATAGAAGTACAAAGTAGAATAACATGGAGGTAATGTACATGCAATTCATGTTACACATGTTCATGTAAATTACATCTAACTTCTTTTTTCTTATCAAAATGAAGCAGCTTGCAGTACCAGAATCCAAACACTGGGAGGCGGTAAAACCAAAGGCATGTGCGATCATACAGTTAAAAACACAACAGCTGATCTGCAGAGTTCATATGAGGTAACCAAGGCAAAAAAATTCAGTGAGTGGTGTGTGTGTCGGCGGTACATGCACAGACTTTGAGATACATCAGTGCAAGAAGGAGGGACAGAGCCACAGTTCCCCATACACCTCACTAACAACCATATTTTCAACTTGCCTTTTTTTGACTTAAACCTTATTGCTCCGAAGACTTTGCACGTATAATGTGACACGATGAGTGACAGTGGTAAAAGAAATGCTTATACCCTTTACGGGCTGGACAATGAGGTTCAGTTTAGGAAACGATTAAGGTTTCAGAAGAACTATGGAAGTGGCATTACAGACATGTGTTGACTTCTGGTTTCACACAGGACATGAACAGCAGTCACCTGGGTGAAAGTCCTGTGATTGTTGGACCTAACCATCCACCTCCACCTACACGGCCGTGGTGACACTTGTCTTCTGTTGTGATGGGATGAGCCAGGTCGGATCTGTGTCCGCATATATGTATCCACGCTTTACACTTCAATGTGTCCTGCATGATCGGATAGTGATGAGATATACTGTATATTTTTACCACTCTTTCTCCCTGCAGTTTGAGTCGACTTCTTTTATTGAAGAACAGCCTCTAAAAAGCACAGCTAATTCTGTGATAAACACATTTTTCCTCCGGTATTTATGCTGCATGTTACTAAAACTTAATCCACACCCTTTAGCCAATCAGCATCATCCATTGCAATCATGAAATGTACACCTATTCTCGCTTACATAACATCCAAAATACTGTACAATTCAGACTCAAACACTACCATTCATTTGAAATAAAGTATTCCTCTTATTTTTTGTTCACCTCCTGTTTTTGTTCCTTCTTGGTGATTAGAACTCTTTGGTGCTGACTTGCAAGAGTGACACATTCCAGTGGGTGGCCCAGGGTCATTGAACAGAGACAGGGGTTCATTGTCAGCCACGACCGTCAGCACCAGAGAATCTCCCACAGGAACTGCCAGAGCAGCTAAAGAAAAACACCTCTGTGTTTTGTTCCCCGAAGCTGTCGTCCCGCCGAGAGGGTGAATGTGAGGCTACGCATGTGAAGTTTGGCAATTAGCCTAGTTTACATTTTTTAAATACGGATCGCCTCAATCATTTTCCTATGGAAAGTCACATGATTATCATGCGGTGTTGAAACCAATAACCACTTGAGTGTCTCTCATCACAGTTTACTTTAAAGGGGAACACCACCTAAATCAAGAATCCCAATATATAACATCCATGGCCGAGGAAAGCAGCTTGTTTTTGAGTCAGTAGCATTCTATAACAAAATGATATGCTTATTCTACACAAACTATTAATAAAGCATTCAAAAAAGATATATTAAATGAATAGTTTCTTATTTTCGTTGGTGTTTTTGTCATACACAGATATGCAATGATGATTGCTGCGTAATATACTGTATGTCTTGCTTTAATACAATGTCAATGATATTCGATTATGTGACAAGACAATGTGTGTGTGTGTGTGTGTGTGTGTGTGCTTGATAACTGCTAACTCACGAGGGTCCGTCATAATAGCGTGCACTGGGGCTCATCGTAACTACCCGACGCCACTGACATGATAGTATGAGTTTGTATATGCAAATCTTCAGCCAGTGTGGACAGTGGTGGTGAAACTAACTGAACTCAGTTCTTCCTTAATTTAACATCTCATTACATTTGTATGGTCAGTATTGAGCAGTTCAGCAGAAATTCTCTGGAACCAGCAAATCCCTCGTATCTTTTTTCTTGAAATCCCAGCTCCCACTGCTCATAATCCAGCTCCAGGCCAAACATTCGCAGTGTAATAAGCCAGTTACGTAAGCAATGGCGCACTTAGCCAGTGACCTCTCTCTCTCTCTCTCTCTCTCTCTTGCGAGTGTGAGTAGAGAGTGTGTGGATTAGAGTGTGCGTTGCAACGGGAAGAGAGTCAGGAAGTGGGTCATGGCAGGATGGAAATGGGTCACAGTCACCCTGCACTCCCTCGTCTCTGGCTCCGCAGAGACGAGGGTTGGGGGGGGCAGTGACGACAGAGAGATTTGGATATTTGTGTTTGTCGGCGTATTTAATCAAGGGCAGCTTCTTGTAAAATGCACGGGGTATGTATGTTTATTCATCCTCTGGATTTGAAAGGACGTGCAGGATTTTTTCTTTTTTCCCCACCACATGCGATACATCCCATGAACAAGAATAGTGGCTGAAACATGTTCCCCTTGGCTCTCATTGTGCCTCTGCTTTTTACATCCTCTATTGAGACCACAACTCCCAATTTCCTATTGTGTTAACAGTGTTTGTTTTCCTTCCCTGGATGCTCAAAATCAGTTTATCTTTATTAGCTTCCGTCCAGGAACATGCAGAATTACTGGCATCCCTCTCAAAGCTGTGCTGAATATAAGCCTCTCTCTACCGTGAGTCAAACAAACACTCGTGGAAGTGATCTTACCCTAATATTGAAAAGCGATAAAGGAAATCCTGCGCAAAAATAACCTTGTTTTTAGCCATGCTACAGGTGTGGCTGCAGGGATGCCGTCGTGTCAGTCAGTTGACCCGGTCAGTCCA